GATAGAATGCCAGATAGAATGCCAGAAGATATGCCAGAAGATATGCCAGATAGAATGCCAGAAGGTATGCCAGAATATTTGCCAGATAGAATGCCAGAAGATATGCCAGAAGATATGCCAGATAGAATGCCAGATAGAAGCTAGAAGATATATCAGATAGAATGCCAGAAGATTTGCCAGTAAGAAAATCTATAAGTCATGGTGGGGATCACACAAAGTAAAGTATTTTTTTACGTCGCAAAACATTATAGCCTGCAAACAACGGAGAATGTCTGACAATGTATCATAATCATAATCCAATCAATATTTTAAGATGTCGCTATTATATCTCTTGGGGGATTGCTACAATGTGGTCAACCAAATGCCATCAACTCCCATTGATGGTTAGAACCCCCGTCAGGGTCATGTGCTTTCCTTCCTCCACCCCTGAAAGGGGGTCGGCGGCACCAGGGCGTTAGCCCATTTTTATATATATATATATATATGTATACATATGTTGCAATGATGTTGCAATGATGTATACTGTATATAATAATATGAGAGAGATAGAGAGAGAGAGATGAGATAGATAGGGAATTTCCTGGTCCATGTCCTTCTTACATAGTGATACTTAACGTAAATCAAATGTACGTACGTATGTATAGATGCATTCTTGGAATTGTTATTTTTTGACAAAATGATAATGTCAAGTGGATATATCACTTTTTTTTACACTTTTCCATCTCTCAATCTGCCAAAACCACAGAGGCGGTGAAGGCCTGTACAATGTCCCAGGAACAAACACTCTAGTCTTGTCTAGTGAAGTCTTTGAAGTCATAGGTATGCTTAGCTTTAGCTGAAGGCCACCGCCATGATTACAATGATAGACATGATAGCCATTTTTGGCCCTAATCTTTGGGTTTGACTGAAAATAGGGTGTTAACCCTCTATGGGTCGAATGATAACCCCTCAAACTGGGATGGTTCAATAGGACCAGTTTCAAGTGGGTGGAACCCCACTGTTGAACCATCCCCCACAGCTAGAAGCTAGTGTTTTGCCATCTAACTATAGATACCCTGTGGTAATGACTAACATAGCTATTGAAAATGGCCATAGAAATAGTAGATTTTCCCATTGCAAATGGTTATGTAAACGTTTACCAGGCCGGGTAATACTATAGATACATCTTCCGTCCTGCTTCTCGGGCAGCGCGGGTTCATTGGAACAGCTGGGCATCTGCCCATCTCCCAAACAGACTGCTGTCTGCCCCGGCAGGCAACCCTCGAAATCGCTACAGCGGCGGCATCCTGGGAAATCATGGGGAAATACTAATAGGATTTTAATAAATCAAGGATTAGAAGTCCTAATCTGAAGATGGATCCAGGATGAATTGTGATTGATGATGATACTGGAATTTGAAATCGATACTGGGAGCATGAAAACCAGGTGATCCTGCCCGGGTCTTCATGGATCATGCCAGGTACGGTGTCTATTTCACTAACATCAGCTACAATTAACACTTGACATATCAACAAGTAACAAGAGAGTGTGTCCCAGTCCCAGAACAATCAACACCCCCAAATTTTCAAACATCTGTAGACTAAGTCTATTTCGCTTCCAACCTGCACCATCAAAGAGCCGATTTGCGCCATCCTCAAACAACTTATGTTCACCCTATCTCTCAAACAAATATCAAAAGGCCCAAAAAAACATTTGCAAAAAAACAACAACAAACAAACAACCAAAAATCTCAACTCCAAAAAATGTTCCACCCACCCAGCATCCTGGCAGGGGCTTGGGGCACAGCTGGGTGCCCTGGTGGACATAGTCCACCAGTCCCACCGCCACGGAGCTGCTCCGCCACTCCAGCGCCACCCGCACCTGCCACAGGCGCCCGAAGGCACCGGTGACGCGCAAGGTCTCCTGCACACCGACCTCGGAGGTCTCCATTGAGGCGATCGGTTGGATGATATGTCTACCCTCTGGTAATTTTAGCTATTGAAAATGGCTATTTATACTGGATTTACCCATTGAAAATGATGATTTTCCATAGTTATGTTAGTTTACCAGAGGGTACATCTTTAGATACATGAAATGAATATCATATCTATTTAGTCGGTTCGTTATTTACTTATGTATTTATTCTATTTCATTTATATATATATATGTGCGTGTGTACGTATATATTATATTTATATATGAATAATGATGATAAGAAATATTAACATTAGGAGAAACTAATAAGAACAACAACAAAAAAAACATCATCATAATAGTCAATAATCATAATAGTAACAATAGTAACGATAGTAAGAATATTAATAATAGTAATTATAGTAATAAAAGTAATAACAGTAATAACAGTAATAATAGTAATACCAGTAATAATAGTAACAATGTAATAATAGTAATACTAGTAATAGTAACAACAATAATATGTATATTGTATATGTATGCATCTATGCATACATACATAATATATATATATATATACATATACCATTTTATACGTATCCGTATATGTGTATAATAGTATAATGTAGATCTATATATATAATGTATATGAGTGTGCCACGGTCAAGTTACATTATACTTTGACTGGCTATGGTCATCCCAGCACGAATGGGATTACTCATAGTTTTAATGGGTATACTAACACCTATATTGGGGATGATATCTTGGGATATAACCAACAAATAAATTCGGATGTTCACCATTGATGATAGTGGGGTCCTAAAATGGTGGACCCCGAAACAATTGGTTTTCCCCCAAATATTCAAAATCGGCAATAAATTAGATGATAACTTGGGGTCCCCGAATTCTGGGAACCAAAAGTCTGCTTGCAGGCTCAAGTCACCGTCAGAAAGGAGCCAGACACATAGGACAGAGGCATCCCATCCAGCAGGTGGCAGAAGTCCGTCTCGTTACTGCAGGAGCTGTTCATCAAACAGCCCTGGCCCACCAGGCAGTTGCCCTCTTCATCCAGTAGCTGCAGGTGCATGCTGTTGCTGGAGGCGGAGGCCAATCGCAGCTCCATGTTGGAATAGCCTGCAGGGATGCGGCCCAGGATGCTGCCGCTGGTTTCCAGCAAGTCCAGCCGGATGCTGCCGTTCCTGTGCCAAAAATGACCCGCTAATAAGGAGGGGTTTGAACATCAAGCAAATAAGGATGCAACTTGACCTCTGCATCTTGGTCTTTATGAGCTGCTCATTTTTATTTGCCATGACTCCTTGCTTTGTTGGGATTGAATAGAGGACAGACAACAAACTGCAGAGGAAAGAGAAGGAGAAGAAAGGGCGATGACAAAGACAACGCAGATTGAAAGGACAAAGTACAGAGAGGAATGAAGAAAGAAGTGATGAACGATGCAGAAGAAAGGAGAAGCACTATATAGTAGAGAAGTAAACGGACGGAACCACTGATGTTCTACCAAGTGGCGTCACGGCTAGTCGTGCGCATACTGGCCAAAAGAGTAAGATTCCTGATGTAAACAAATAGGTTGTTTGTTTCAAATAAAATTGCAGTCTTTGCTCAAATCCACATGTTTTAAGACTCAATCCCGTTCCCTTGCGAAATTTCAACTTGTCCAATCTCAAATCTGTCTAAATCCCCATGGTTCGCCTTAAATCCTCACCTTCCCCAAATCCTCCACGTTTTCCAAAACCACCAAGGCTCCCCGGCGCACAGCTCAGGACCAACGGCTCCGATGGGAACTCGGAGGCCGGGCAGAGCGCGGCGCGCGCCGCGCGAGCCAGGGCCACCTGGGGGCCCGCTGGGGACGGAACAAAAACCCTGGGAATTCATGGTGAAAAATGGAGATATCACCAACTAAACATGAAAAGATCATGGAAATATAAGTTGATCTGCGAAATTTGAGTGTCTTGACCAAGAAAAAATGGGAATACACAGGAGTATTTATGGGATATTCAAGGTGATTTATGGTGATCTATGGTGATTAACGGGGATTCTAGCAACCCAAAAAAAAAAGATAGAAAAGTAATATCCTAATAGTCACACATGACTTTTTGGCATCTTTTTAGGGGAGATATCATATAGTAAAAAAAAATAACCAACAAATTTGGGAGTCTGAAAATCCGGTGCCATTTCCAATGGATCATCATGGATCATCATCATTTTCCCTATTCAAATGGCCATTGGACAGCCATCGTCCTGGGCTTCCCAGCCAAACTCAAGGTCCACCAGGCCATGGAGACCAGCGCCATGGGACACAGCGCGGAAAGTCGATGTCGGCTGAGTTGGGGGTTGCTAAGCATCAACGATGGGGATCTAAATCGTTTACGAAAGCCATCATTTTTGATGGTTTCCCCTATATGAAAACCATGGTCTAGTCTAGAGGGTCTGGTCAGTCTGGTCCGACATGATGTTGCACCATTTCGTGGTGGTGTTCGAGCTGTTTTCAAGATATTGAAAGTGTGAATGTCCACAAACCACCCTGGGTCTTCCGCTTAAAACTTCGCCTAGGATCTATCAGTTCTCCAGCTCAGGCACAGCGTTCCCGTCTTGGGAAGCCGACCGCGGGAAAGGATCCCGCCACAGAGCAAGGCTACTTTGAGCCCCTATTCTTGGGAACCTGAAGGGCATCAAAACCAGGCTGCCGTGAATCACGCGAACATCAGCATCTTCCAACAATCCCGGAGAATCCCGGGTCACATTTTGTGGCTCAAAATAATCTTCTCTCAAAATGGATGCTTTAATATGTTCCAAGAATGATTTTTTGACTGGTTGTATCAAAGACCTCAAATGACTCCTTCTCACTTTGAACAGTGCCATGTGAATATAGGTTTAAAGGAAACTGTGCCTGAAGAATTGGATAAAGTAAAAAAAAATGACCTGTCAATCTGTAGGTCTGTAGGTCCCTTGAGGCCTTAAAAAGCCAAAAAAAATCTGGCCACAAAAAAACATGTCAGTTCTTGTTTTTATCAGATTCCCATGACTGTCACTTTTTTATCTCCAGTGGTTGCACCCCAAGTTTGGTGAAATCCCAAGACTTTCACCTGGAATCACCGGTCAGAGTCCCACCCTCTCCTGGCTGCTGTGGCTTCCATGGAATCCACAGCCATGAGCGACAGCTGTGACACCTCACATGGCTGGTCGTCCCATGAAAAAATGGGGGAATCCCTAGTGACTACAGTAGATTGATGACACCAATTAGTGAGATTCACCAAAAAAGTGACTAATAGTGACATACTTCTGGATTATTTTGATGATTTATCCCTAAGGCCTGAATCCGATAAATCACTAATTATGTCACCAATGTCCTGTTATAATTAGAGTAATAGTGACATATAATGACAGCAAATCCCTTTTTGAGTCATACCCCACACTTGGCGTTGACCCAAATTTCCGGTGCCAATTTTTTTTGAGTCAAATCTTGAGACCCAGATCACGAGATCACGGGATCGTCATATGTTTGAGTCATACGGATCAAACAGTTTGACCAGCGAAATGGGAGGCCAGCAACAAATGAACAGTGGTTTATATATATATATATGTAGGTATAGGATGGTATAGGTCTTATCCAGCAATATCGGAAATATGACCATGCAAAGTTATGATGTCATCAAGAATGGGCTTGCACCAGCAACAGCTATGGATGTTTATGACAGAGACCCAGGTGAACATCGGAAATGGACTGATCAATTTGTGTATGAAACCATCCCAAGCGGCAACCCATAACCATTTTACCAGATGACTTCCCTGGCCCGTAGAAATGGGATTCATCCCTCAAACGTTGGGCAATGCCTGTGATCACCACGTGAAGAAAGCCAAAGTTATTCCAAATGTTTCTCGATTAATAACGGTAAAAACTGCCCAACAGCACCATTTGTTGCAGCAAAAACACCCAGCGAAAAAGAATGTTGCGGATCTTTTCTATGTGATCGCCATACATGACATGTGCCATACCTGAAATATATCAACCCATATTATACATGTGGTATAAATTGCTATGAATGGATTGATGGCAATCCCCCAATTTCAGTATACAACCCAACTTTTCGCTATCATTGGTCATTGATATATCCCGAACAAATAATATATAGACATAGAAATAGACATAGATATAGATATAGATATAGATATATCCCTAAGGAATATCCCATGAAATAATAATGGATGTCACTGGATGTTCATGCTTTAAATCACCAAACGTTAACCCGCCATCACCATCGCTGCCTGTGCTTTGCCCTTCCAGTATCCTTTCTGCACAGGACCTCCAGCTATCTGTAGGCCGCCTGCCACGGTACGACAGCCAGATTTTGGGAAAGGGTCAAAAACCAGCAGAAAATGATGAGAAATCAGTAGGTCAAAAGATTGTGTGTGTGTATATGTATATGTATTATATGTATTGTATGTATTATATGTATTGTATGTATTATATGTATTGTATGTATTGTATGTATGTGTATTGTATGTATGTGTATTATATGTATGTGTATTGTATGTATGTGTATTATATGTATGTGTATTGTATGTATGTGTATTATATGTATGTGTATTGTATGTATGTGTATGATATGTATATGTAATATACGTATATGTATTAATGTATATGTATATGTATATGTGTATATATGTATATATATATATATATGTACAGTATATGTGTGTGTATATATGTGTACATATATATATATATATACATATATATATATATATGTGTGTGTATGTATATATATATATATTAATATATATGTGTATATATATGTATGTATATATGTGTATGTATGTGTGAATGGAGATCCAGCAAGATCTAAGAAAAAAGAGAGAAGGGCATCAATGAATGAGAGTTGAAGGGATGGTCACATGTGGCCAACTGATTATCGGTAGGGGCGGTAGGGGGATACTGTAGAGACTGTAGAGGAGAATAGAGGTATTTTGAAACCTTCAGGGGCAAACTAGGGCCACATTTGAAAGTGTCAGTGTCCTTAGGTTATCTTCACTCCTGGTAGGAAATCCTGTCTGCCGCCTGGGAGCTACAAGAAATGTGTTACCCTGCCGCTTCTTTCAGCAATGGTGGAAGCAACGCCCAATTTAAAAAAGAAAACTGTGCATATCAATTTGCGAACGTGGACAACAACAAAACAATGCAACAGTGAGGAAATCCATGTCTACTATATGAGGAGCAACCTGTTGCAAATTTGTGCGCAAGTCTTATGAAACGTGTATCATTGTTTATCGATACCTCTCATGCATGATGCTATCTTTGGCATTTTTTCCAAGGCACAACTCAGTAAAAGGCCACCCTTTTCCTCCAGTCCTGGCAGCAGATTTGTAGGGCTAAACTTATCATCCACATGTCTGAAGTATTCTTAGTAGATTCCCCATAAGGTGGATGAATTCTGATTGCCGATGAACGACTTGACAACAGGCTCTGTTTTCAGACTGGTACTGAATGGGAGCTCACCCAGCAATGAACAATGGCTTCCAGGGGGTGACGCAAACATACGTAGTTGCACATGTTCTGTTTTTGTGCAGGGAAAACATACACAATCATAGCTATCTTAGCCAAATCTGCTCCCATACCCAACTGCTGCAAAAATTCAAAAGCTATGGCAGCTATGGCAGCTATGAGTTATGGATATGAATCCCCGCCTTTAACGTATGAAAAACATCCCTCCCCTAATCCCTGGGTCCTTGTTCCAAATCCCGCTGCTTGTCTTCTTCAACCTATCCCTAAGATCCCCTGAGCCTCCCAGCTCCCATCTAAAAGAAATACAAAACGAGTGATCCCACCAGCCTGACACACTATTCTGACAGTCTGTTTTTGACATATTATCTGGAAGTATATATGGCGCATATATAATACATATTTATATATATACATAATTATATAATTATATAATATATATATATACATTCTGACATTCTATCTGTCATCTGACGTTGTTTTTGGCAAATACTATGACATTCTGAATTCTATCTGACATTCTTTCTGGCAGGTGTTCGGGCCCAGGCGTGCCAGCTGCATCTGTCGCTTGCGATATCAGCATGGCTCGGGTCCATTGGTGCCACAGTCACGACGAGCTGGCAGAGGAGTAGACGAGTAGAACGAGGAGAAGAAGGAGGAGTTGCACCTTCGTTAAAATCTAGAGACCCTCACCTGGCAGGTGGGGAACAATTCGCTCCACTCCAACCTCTCTAACCCCCATCTTCCCCTTCCATTCTCAGAAGCTCCTTCTCCAAAGGTTGGCACGTAGAACATGATCTGCTGCCAGCGACCCCGCAGCACCATCTTTTTGGCTCCGCCCTGCGAATTTCCAGAGGATGGGCTCGACGACGAGGCGGAACTGGCCATCTGGCGGCCCTGCGCTCCCGCCACGGCGCTCTTCATAAGCACCAGGGACACCAACAGGGAGCCTTGGGTGGGGACATGGAAATGCAGAATATCAACCAACAAAAATGGAAAGTTCCGAAGTTTCACCCAGGAAATATCAAGAAATGCGAAATTAGCAACTTAAATATCGCCAGCTCGTTATTAAGCCTGCTTTCAAACTGGGGTTTCACCAGCAACAAATGGGAATAGAACCAAGCAAACATGGTCAGAAGCAGTGGACACGCCCAGGGTGGTTAAGTTCACCTTCATCTAGCACTTGCTAAAGTTCACAACAAAAAAACGGGCTCCACTCTGAAGCTTGGGCCTAGTGACTGCAGAGATTCCAGTGTGCCAAGATCTGCAAATGTCCCAACAGCACCGAAGCTTCTCGGGCATGCCCTGCACCGCTGCCCAAGCGGAGTTTGGCGCACTGTTGACTTTCCTCCCCGAAGAATCTCACGAGGGTCACCTCTTGTTTGTAGTCCGAGAGCAACACATGCCTCAGTGGGCCCAGTGGCCCATGACATTCAATTTGTTCAAGCCATCTATCTAAAAAAGCTGCTATTCAAGGGAGTCTACGAAATTTGTTTGTCCCATCAGACTGCCACAAGAAAGACTCCCTCCGATCCTGCTTGAGTTTGGAATCTCTTTAAGGACAATTCCGGCAAAGGATTCGAGATCATTACTAAGGGTTTCATTAGATTCCCTGGGCCAACCACTATTCAAATCACCACTGGAGCTCTCAGAACACTGGCGAAATCCTGTCTTGGAAAACAACTCGTGGAATTGAACCAACTCGAGGACAAGAATTGTGCGACACTTGCCCCCAAAAGCAGTTGGATGTGGTAGGGTTCTGATACAGTAGATGGTGTTTTTTCCCCACAACATCTCAATGGTTCAAGAGGTTTTATGATTGCCTAGCTGGCCTAGCTTTCCCACCAGCAGGATGCATCAGATGCATCAAACTATGGCAACCCCAAAAAAGATGGAAAAGGAAAAGCTGACCAAAAGAGTGGTGAATTACTTCGCTATCTTTGGGGAGTCTACTTTCTATCATCAAAAAACATGGACCAAGCTGCTGTAAGCTGTACAACAAGAGTTCCACCTTTTCTTCACTCACCATGTGAATTTCCTGCACTCCAATGTCCAATCTCGCCAGGACCTTCAAAGACGCCTCGCGGCATTGCTCCAATTTTCTTGGCATGGGGAGTTCTGGCATATTCTTGGGATGCTTTTTGTGATGATGAGTGGTGAATGGTCTTCATCCCCCAATGCCCCAATCTCACTCAAATCCCTCCCACATTGCAAAAACAACATCTCTTCAGACTCTCTCATCCATCAATATCGGTGCTTACAGACTTAAAACATACTAAGCCACCTAAATGATCTATCTCGTTCCAATCCCAAACCAAACCCCTGCCCCCCAAGCAAACCATTCAATAGCACGAAGTAACCTCCCCATTCCCCCCATCCCCCATCCCCTGCCCACTTGGAAGTTAAGTTCCAGTGAACCAAGGGGGTGCATTTCACCATCATAGTTTTTTTCGGGGCCCCATATCCCTGAAAATCACAATGTGGACCATGGTTATAGAATGTTATAGATTCTGTAGATGTAAAAGATCCATGCCAAAGTCACCTCAACTGCACCCATCAAACCCCACCCCCTTCCCCCCTTCCCCTTCCCACCTCTCTCTTGGCACTGGCATGCAGCAGTCGCAGCGACACCCCCGCGGCCACCACGTCCAGCGTCGTCCGCCGCGGCGCCTCCGGCGGCTCCTCCTCGGCCGCTCGGCCGCTGGCGCTGCCCAGCGAGCCCAACAGCAGCGAGAGCAGCACGGCGTCGCTGCTGCTCACGTGGAAAATGAGCTCCGAGAGGTTGAATGACAAGTGAAGTTCCTGGAAACTTTGGATGATTGATGGTTGATTCATTATGATTGTTGTGATTGATTATGATTCACGGCTGATTCATTGTTGATTGATCTCAGTAAGAAAATGAACGGTTGTTGGAAAATGTCTGGTGACATCTTACCATTTTGTTGTTGATATTTTGAGGGAGTTCAGGAAAGTT